GCCGCCAGGCCCAAACAAAGTGTCGTTTGGGCCTACCCGCTGGGCTGAGTGCAAAATCAGGCCTTTAGGGCCTGTGACCCTCAAAGGTCGGGCCTTTAGGCCCTGGTGTGTCCCTCCGGCCCTAAGTCGGGTCCGGTAGGACCCGTGTGACTCGAAGATGTAACAGTAGGAGTAGATAAAGACGAGGAGGGAGGAGGAGATATGGTCGAAGGAGGAAGACGAGGAGGAGATATGGTCGAAGGAGGAAGACGAGGAGGGAGGAGGAGATACGAACGACGGATGGAGAAGAAGAGGATCAAGGAGGATGGTGACCAGGAAAGGTGGAGGAGAGATGGACAAGACAAGGCAGGAGGAGGAGAGGAGGGGGGAGGAGGAGATAAATCCGAGTGATGGGTGACGAATGAGGAAGCGATGGCGGGAGGAAGAAGCGATGGCGAGAGGAGATGGGAAGGAGCGATGCCAGGAGTGAGGAAAGATGATGGCGGAAGGTGGAAGGAGGGATGGTGGGAAGCGGAGGAAGAAAGTCAGAAGGAGGGAGAAAGGTAGAAAAGGGAGGAAAGATGATGGTGGGAGGAGGAAAACGATGGCGGAAATCGGAAGGGGGCGGGGGGAAGGGGAAGAGAAAGAGAGAGACATCTTGAGAAGATCTGTTGCGGACTGCATCTGATGATTGTGCTCAAGGTCCCGCCTTAGTCTGTTGTACTCAAATGCTTGCTGGTGTCGAGGCTGCACACTTGTTATCTGATCAGTCTGACAAAAAACTGATGTCACTCGTTGTGACATAACTGTTGCTCCGGTTACCAGGAGATCCTGCTATGACCAGCACTTTTGCCCTTGTCACCGGGATTGCCAGCTATGACCAGCATCGTCACTGCTGTCACCAGAACTGCCCGTTGTGACCAGCACTATCGCTGCTGTAATCAGAAACTGCCCTCTGTGACCAGTGTAATGTCCCCTGAGAATGTGATCTGCTGAGGGTAAACCGAGATCATCGATCGAGTTCACTGAATCTGAACTCGCTGAAACTGAAAATTGAACTCGTTAGGATAAAGTTTACTGAGACCGAACTAAGCGCGCTGAATTAAAACTTTCTCTGAAAGTCACACATAGATTTGAAATCAAGACTGAACTAAAGTCGCGGAGATGAGACTGAATTCACCAAAGCTGAACTGAATTCACCAAAGCTGAACTGAACTACTGAAAACTGAATTTAACTTGAAAAGGTGAAACTGATTTCACTGAACTGAACTGAATTTAACTTGAAAAGGTGAAAGTTCCGTGAAACTGATTTCACTGAACTGAACTGAACTGAAGTGAGTTCGGTGAGTCTGAAGTGAACTTTGCTGAAACTGAATGAAACTGATTTCTTCGACTCTGAACCGTTTGCTGAAAGCTTGCTGAAACCTTATCTGAACTTCGTAAAACTCACTGAAGATTCTGAAGAACTGATCTGAGGTTTTGTTGATAATTCACCTCTCTACACTCTCCCTCTCTGCACTCCTGACAGTCTGTGTACGCCTTGTGCGCAGTGTATATCCTGTGCTCTCAAATGCGTCGCTAGTCAAGACCATAGCTCCCTTTGTAACTGCCAGCTGGCAGCCCTGCAGGCCAACAGCTGGCACATGAGCATGCATACAGCTCCGGCTCTCGCCCCTAGTTGCCCTTCTCTGGGTCAAAACTCTTGTCCTTGTAACTGCCAGGTGGCAGTTTCCCTTGGGCCAACAGCTGGCTGCTGTGCACATACACAGCTGTGTGCGTGCCCCATTGGAATAATGAGAGATTATTATGTGAGTGGACCAGGCCCAGTAGTACCACTGCGGGCACCATTTTCCAGACGGCCAGTCCCACTACAGGCCCGTTCATACAGGTGTGGGCCCAATGGAGTGCCGTTGGGTCCGGGTCCAGACCTGGCCAGCATGTGCTTGACTGCGGCTTAGGGCTGCTCTTATTGAATTGCCTTTTTTTTTTTCGGAACTGTGCGAACCCTCCACAAAAAAAATCAGCAGCAGGTTTCGCCAATCCCACTCCGAGTGGTTCAGGCCTTCGAACCACCTGACAACCATACCTTGAATCACAGTCAGATTTCAATAATACTAAGTTACTAACCAACAATAATAAAAATAAAAGGAGGGGATTACACCTGGGAGAATCGAGGATGACCATCCTAACTGAAAGTGTGGTCGGTCCCCGAAGACACCTTTCGGCTTGTACCAGGTCTCCTTCGGTTAAACAGATTACTCCCACGGCTAAAGGCAGGGTGTGCTTGCAAGTATGATTGGTGAGAGAAAAAAACGAGAAGTATAATGTGCTGTCCTTCGGGACATCCGTTAAAAATTGGAACGATACAGAGAAGATTAGCATGGCCCCTGTGCTTTCGAGGATGACACGCATAAATCGAGAAATGGTCCAATTTATTAAAAAAAAAAAAAGTATAATGTGCTTAGTACTGCTTACTGTTGTGGAAAAGCAGGTGGCTATTGTCTTCTGTGCCTCCTTTTTGAACAGATTGTCCTGTGCATTGCATGCCTAATTTGCTGTGTGGTTTTCAATCGGGCTCATTCGTGAATTGATCGCAGATATTCCGCGACAAGTGCGTCCCCCCAGAACATGAGCGAGCAGCAAATTGCTTTGTGGAAGGAGGGCAGTGGGAGGATGCAGCTGATTGTTACTCCGATACCACACTTTGGAAAATCAAGGAGGCATTGCACTGCTGCCTGAAGGGCCGGCTATTTGACAAAGGCCTCTGTTTGCTGGAAAGTTTTGAGAACCAACAAGATGATCAGGTGACTTGTCACAGCAGTGATGGTGAATCCTCTGCGGCAGGATCAGCAAATATCCAGAAAGAGAAGATGAAGTATTTGACAAGGTGTGCGGTGCGCTTCCACCGGACGAAAGATACAAAGCAAATGATGAAGTACATTCTCAGGTTCCCCTCCCTTTCTGACCGGATAAGGTTTTTGGAGAGGCGTTCCTACTTTGACGAGATTTTGAACGTGCACTGCGAAGCTGGGAATTCTGCCAAAGCTGCAGAAATTGCCATGAAAGTGGGCGATGTCGCGAAAGCAGCAGATTTTTATGAGCGTGGCCGAATGTTCACTGAAGCGTCTTCTGTTCTGGTCAAACACGCTCTAATTAGCATCCTATGGCTCGGATCGTCCGAAGAGAGAGAATGCTGTGGCGATCGCTTCGCAGAAGAAGAGAAAGCACTTAGAAGAGCCCACGAACTCCTCAATCGCAGTCAGTGTTCCTCAGATATGGCTCATGAAGGCCTGCCCCAGCTGCTCCGGCACGAAATTGACTTGCTCCAATCTATGATTTCTCCTGCCAGTGATAGGAAGAAGGGGAGCGGCATCGAGAATGTGCTGGAAAGGGCGCTAGCTGCTATGCATTCAGTTGACTCACCAGACATCAAGCTATTAGCTGGTGAACATGTCATGCGGTCATTGATGATGCCTCTGGTAAACATACCTTCTAATGCCATGCTTGGTCTGAGAGGTCAGATTGCTGACTTTGGCAATGAGAAGGCATTATCAGCCTCTCCAAGGGATGATTTCGATGCGCTGATTGGCAGATGCATTGACAGATTGCAATCCCTGAAAGAGATATGGGATCAATGGATACAAATTGTGAACAGCGCGATCAAGGCCTTAGGTCGTTTGAGCAATCATAATGAGACCGTCGACGACGAGAGGTATCTGAAAGCATGCGAGAATCACCTTTGTGCATTGAGGGAGGCTGCATCTCTATGGTGTCAAGTGGAGAACGCTAAGTCCTCATGGTTGCCGCCGTCGTTTCAAAAAGAAATTCATAACCTTGAAAATCAGGGAAGTAGAGCAAGACTCAGAGTTCCGGTCTTTGCTCAGGCGGCAATCGAGCACTGGACGACAAAGGCGCTGTGGTTCGCAGATGCCTGCCTTGTTGAGCTAGTCTGTTTTCTTGATGGATTGGAAAGATTGAATTTGGAAGATGGACTGCATCAGTGGGTTCGTTGCTTCTCGAAGTCCAAGGTTGAGGCTTTGGGGGCTATCGTCAAGATTTTGGCAGACGTGGAGAGCTGCCTGGGAGGGGAACAGGAGAGGATTAATGTGACAACAACTCTCGATGCTGCTAAACAGCTGAAGTTGCACTTCTTAGGACCCTCGGCAGATTACGAGCTTTTGCGCAGAAGTGCAAAGCAGAACCTTCTGACGGTAATCGCGCCCACATTTCCGATGTTGGAAGACTCGGGCCTCTTGCAGTGCCTTTCCAGAAACGAGAGGGAACTTGTTGAACAAGTTCTACGTGAAGCTGTTGAGCGCGAGATGCAGAATCTGAGCGCTGGCATTGGAGACCGTCGCAACAACTCGATCCCAGATTCTTGTCTTAAGCCAGTTGCGAGACTTGGGGAATTATTACCTGTGGTTGAGAAGGACTTTCTTCTAAAAGTACGGTTATACATCCCAGATCAAAAGCGACTTGATCGTGAAGGCCATGGAAGTAACCGCGGGTAAGTTGGTCAAGCCTGGTTTCTCTTTTTTTTTTTTTTTTTTTTTTTTTTTTTTTTTTKWWAARRGCTTGATTTTWTTTATATATACGAGCAAAAGGAGGCCGGGAATCCCTGCACATCTCAACCCAGAATACTGTGGCCAGTACCCAACCTGGGCTTTAACTGGAAAACGGGTCCAGTGTCCCATTCTTCGGGGATCTCCCTTAGCTAATCCTTCACCTAATTATCGAAGCTGGTCCCCGTGGGAGCTCAGCTAAAAGGGAAAAAGTAATGAAGGCCAACCAGAGGCTGCTCACTCTTCCTGGAAACTAGTTTGGGTTTTCTCTTCTAGAACCCTAAACCCCGTTCCTCCCCTGTGGGTATCCTCGTGCTGTGTGAAGGCCCCCTTTTTTTTTAATCCTGAGTCTTCTAAGATCAGGTGTAAGCCCGCTCTACCACCCTAAGTCCTCTACAATCAGCCGTGAGCCCGCTCCTCTCAGATGGAAGGCTGTGAGGTTAACGCCTCTGCCTGTTGCTCGAACTCCGCCTTTCCTGTGGGGACCCTCCTGGTGTGCCAGTGCCCGCTCCTCTCAACTGGGAGGCTGTCAGATCGGCGTATTCGGCTAGAGCGGGTTTATCCAAACTGAGGCCGAACCTGTTGGATGAATCTTCTGCAATGGCCAGCACTGATCACGGTCTGAGATGATGTGCCTGATTGAAAACGGATCCAGCATGACAATCCACATGTTCCCATACACATGCGCAATGACAAGTAGATTTGGGGAGAGCAATCCATACCAATCCGGGTGATCAGAATACACAGCGGAGCCACACCCTGTTCTCTCCAGTTCAATCAACTGCACTGTTTTTCAAAGAATCCCAACCACGTTATCAACACCCATGGACCAATTATTTACAAAGCTTTATTGAAGTATCAGGGAGTCTTCTTCTGTCTCTGTCTCTCTCTCTCTCTCTCTCTCTCTCTCTCTCTCTCTCTCTCTCTCTCTCTCTCTCTCTCTCTCTCCAGGAAGAAGATCTCTCTCTCTCTCTCTCTCTCTCTCTCTCTCTCTCTCTCTCTCTCTCTCTCTCTCTCTCTCTCCAGGAAGAAGAAGTAGAAGAAGGTGCAGGGGCTGGCATGCTGTCTCCTCAAGCAACGGCGCACTCCCTATTTAGTCCATGGCAGGCGATGGTGCGAAGGCGCTGGCTCCCCCCGCAGGTGGCGGCAAGGCGAACGCGAGCTTGGCAGCAGCTCGAACGGGGGGTCATGTGAGGCAATACACCATGCGAGAGTTTGAAAGAACTCCCACCTTACTTTTTCAAAATGCGGGCGATCTGGTTGCAGATCGGCCGTCACCTTTCTTTCAGATACAGGGGCCTACCGACCTCGGCCTCTTTTTTTACCGAAGTTGTGGCTGCCTTCGCCAGGCCACGGGAGGCCGCCCACGCCGCTTTGGGCCCAGTACCCCCCCCCTCTGGACTCCCAGCGAGAATGCGCTGGGGCCGCCCAGCCAAGCTTGTCCACCAACTGGAGCTGGAGGCTCCCAGGCGGAGGATGGCCCCCCTGTCGAATCAGGAACCAGCACTGCCGGCATGTCTATTAAGGACTCGTTTGATTCATATTTTCAGCGAGATTTTCTGTTCCTGGCCGGGGCCTGTGTGCGTGATGTTGCCCCCAGCATATAGTTGTGGGCCCAGGCCCTCGTGGTGAGACAGCAAGAAGGGGATTGGACTCTAGTCATGACCCAGGCAGGCCACACATTTGATCGATGATCCACCTACACTCATTATCGGCAGACGTTGCTTTTGATTAACGTACGAAGGTATGAATGATGAGCTACTGTTGCATACTGTAACGGTGCAGACCAGAACAAGAACCGACCTCTCAATACAAAGTATAAGATAGCACAGCGGAAGACTTAAATACCAATGATCCGAACAATCAATATTACAATGCAGCCCTGAACATACATCATCATCATCGTTACACGGTGTGAATGGGGTCTGGCGCTTCACACAGGAAGACTGCGCCAGCCCCTACCATACACAGACGAAGAAGAAGGGGGTTAGACGAAGAGGAGGGGAAGATGGGAATGTCGTCAACACCAAGTCTTCGGCACAGCCCAAATAGTCCCTCGTCGAAATGTCTGAATCCCAAATGTCAAGTCTGGATCCAATGTCGTCAAGTCCCAAGTCACAGCTCTCTCTCTGTAGTAGTCCGCTGATACTGAGAAGTCAGGTGGTGAAAGGGGAAGAAGAGATGGTGGACTTAGAAGAAGAGGAAGAAGAACTCTCTCTCTCTCTCTCTCTCTCTCTCTCTCTCTCT